CTTCGCGGGAGCCCGAACATAGCCGTACAGAAGCGTAATTATTCATCTCGGTTCTCATCTTAACACTTCACAGTAATGGCCACAAATTATTGTAATTCCAACGATCGTAAATTGGCGCAATTTACTCTGCTTCTTCTCGGTAGCACAACGAGGTAGCTGTTTGCGAATCCCACGTTGTACTGAAAGAAAATAAAGTGTCATCGAGTTGGTGGAAATTGGCACTGTTATCAGCAGGGAAACCGGTCATCGGATAACCGATTGCTGGTTTTATTACTATAGAAATATAAATTGAAATGGGAATCAGGCGAGCCGAAGAAAAAGAGACGAATCCTAACTACTTACTCCTCTTAGGATCAAGTCGTTATAATTTTTATCTTCAGAGAACGGCTTGAGACTGAACATAACGTGGCGTTTTACGGCGCGACGGACTCGTTACTCTTGAGAGGATTTAGGCGCGTTAACGGGAATGCAAAAACGAAAGTAAAGTGGCAGTGCGGTAAGCTCGTCGGGCAAAAACCGCGTCAAAGATAATGGAAGCGAATATAAGAGAGTGGGTCGCGTGAACCAGGTCACAAGGAGTCAATGAAGAATTCATTTTGGTCATGCGAATTGAATGATGAATCGACTTGGTGAACGTATGAAAAGCGGAAGCCCATGCGTTGAAGGCATACGAAGAAGAAGAGGTTGAAGGTCGCGAAGTCTTCCTCATCAGTCGGGAGGTCATTATCGGTTATCTTGCGGAAATCTTAATCTTGCAAGCTGAAGGAGGCGCGTCGAAGTGCGCGAAAGACGACGGGGGGTGATCGGTAATACGTTGCAAGCAGTACGTTGTAAAGAAAAAGGAGGAGGAAGAAGGAGGAAGGAAGAAGAAGCGGAACTCTCCCAGGATCGACGGGAGGACCGGAGGTAGTATGTAGTACCTTCTCGAGTTTAATAGTAGAAGAAGAGCGCAGGAAGAAATACGAAGCGTCGAATAATAAGGACGCGCGAACAGAGACGTGAAGAAGGCGAAGGAAGAGGGTCAGGTTCACGGACCTCGCGCCGAGATCGAGGGATTAGCGAAGTGCACCACATTTGAAGCTGATAATTACGCCCGATAATACGTGAGCGTGAATAATCTCAGCCGGGGTAGAATCGCGTTCGGGGCGGACAGAGCAGCGGACAGAAAATAATATTACGAAAGGATTCTACCCTGACTTATTTTGATTAATTCAGGGTTAGCTTCATCAACGTAGGTTTATTTCAACCTTGGTTTAATTAATCCGTCATCTCTTAAGCTAGGATGAAAGAAGATGAAGAGTAAATTAAAGTATATTTTTGAATTTCTCGTCTTGATTTCTTGAAAATGTTTTGTATCGAGAAAAGAAGAGACAGAGCAATCAGAGCATATCATCTACCTATTGAATGTCTGTAACGCTGAACTTTCTTGCTCAAAGATTGTTTTGCTCATTGATGGTTTTCATTCTAGTAGCCGATTTATAGCTTTCTAGCAGAACAATGCTGACGCGGAAGCGTAAAACTGGATCGCTGTTTTCGAAGATGGTGACCAAGCCGAGGAAAAACCGCGTTGCTGCGGCAAGCTCGGAAAGAAGGGAAGAACAGTGGGTAAAGGAAGATAAAGAAGAAGAGGAAGAAGTAGAAGAGTGGTAGCTCGGTGGGAAGCGGCGGCCGGGGAAGGGAAGCTAAGGTCACGGACCTCCTCCGAGATCGGCAGAAGATCAGCCGCGACTCGCGCCTTCGCTACCTTCGCGAGAACGCTTAAACTTGCTAATGGAAAAGACCGCCGTGGCTTCGTATAGGGATGTTTAAAAGCGACACGCTGCGTAGTCACGTAATTTACGCGTTAACTGCGTGCGCGGGACGGTTTGACTGACAGACGTTGCATAAAGTCCGTCTAGATAAGCGCCTGGAACGGGAACCAGGATGCGACGATCGGGGGAGAGTCATTAGCGCCAAGGGAAGGGATGAATATTCGCGACACGTTTTGTGTCAGAGGTGACGGCCTCCGTAAAAAAAAAAAAAAAGAAAAAAAAATGAAAGTGGCTCTTTCCTCTGTGAATACGGAGAAAAATGCGACGACGTCGCGTCACGTCGCTGGCCGTCGACACCCAGCGAGCGAATGAGTATGCTGATGAAAACGAGTCGACGCATATTAAGCAGACAGAACAATTTCGACGAGTCGAGAGGAGAGGAAGTATCCTTCGACCGTCCTCGCGCAGTGGTCGTTCTCGTGCGTGACATGATTGCGTTACATGGACAAAGATGAGAAACGCGCTCGAGATTCGAGATAATCTCTCCTTACGTTCCGAGAAGGTCCGGCCGAGGAGACGTACGGTCCCGTTAAAATACTCCGGTGATTTCCGCAGCCTTATCGCCGATGTCATTTCGGTCCGCCGCTCGTCACCGTTGTCGGCAACGACGCGCAGACCCCGCGGACTCGAGGACTTGATCAACGCCTGTCAGATAGTACCTGCTAATCCTTTCGAGTGCTGCAATCCGAACGCAGCGAGTGCGGCGGACTCCCGACCGGCTGCCGCTGAACATCAATTTGTCTGCCGTGGAAATGAAAGAAAGCACCAGTCTCCCTGTGCACTTCCTGATGTGTGTGCTCGCCTACAATGTATATTAAACATTCTACCGGTCGTTCAGCGTCTGTCAGCCGACGTGGCGCTTGTTTATCTTTGCCTCGCGAATGAGACGACTCCTGCAGACCGCGCGAAACATGCGTGAAGCCCTCTTCTCTTTCTCTTTGGAGTATGTCCTCGAGCGATCAAATGAGCTGCTAAACCATGTAAAAATTCACCTCGGGGGTTATTTCTCATTGAATCATCTCGGCCACTAGTTACATTATTTATCTCTCCATCGTTAAACCTGGGTACAATCATGTAATTTTTTTCTTAAGACAAAAACGTGTAGAATGAAAATTTTTACCATTGAAGTGAAGGGAAAAAATTTTCACGTTTTTCTATTCTAAGGAAGAAGTTACATGATCGGTATCCTACATTGTATTCCTTAGACACATATATAGAAAATAACTAAGGCTGGTATTCATAATTGATTCTTATTTCAAGAACGTCTTAAATAACGTCTTGAGATGCTAATACTACTTTGTGACTGGTATTCAATAGATTCTTGTGTTTAAGATCGTCTTAAGTACAATCTTAAGACGTCATGAACTAATCAGAAGGTTGTATTAGCATCTTAAGAGTAAGACATTACTTAAGACAGTCTGAAAATAAGAATGGACTGTGTCCATTGGTGAAAACCACTCTGTGATTAACTTGTGACATTTTAAGACTGTACTTAAGATGGTTTTAAATATAAGATCTGACTATGAATATCGACCTAATTACATGTGTCGTATGTTGAAGTTATATGTGCGAAGAGTCAGTAAAAGAGGAAAAAAAGAACTTTTAATTTAATTAGCTTGTTTCGAGCAAGTCAGTGCCTATCTAAAAGGTCTAACAGAAAATTAATGATACCAGCGGCGTTCGCAGAGCGTTATTAAAATGTCAAAGCTCGCGATTGTTCGCTCTGTTCATTCATTATCGGGAATCGCGATATGACGGAAGGCTTGGCCGGGTGGTTGCCGGAGGCCGGCTGCATATTCCTCCGGGATACAGCCGAGGGTCGGTACATCGCGTGAAACTGCATAGGTCCTCAGTCGCCTTGACGTGGGGGAACGTTCGCCACGTTCTCTATAACAGTTGCGCGTTGCGCACGTGACGATGATACCTCACCGTGAATTATTACCCGATGCGCGCCGGGCTCGCTGCGAAGCGCGTGCGTTAGGTGCAGGGAAAATATTGCCACCTCGCGTATCTTCCGAGATTAATGTTGAATTATGCCTGTGACGATAGCCCCGGGATTGTTCCCGCTTCCTACTTTGAAAGAATTCGCGAGGACACAATCTTCGACGATATTACAGATTATTAGGGGTATCCTCGGTATTTTTGTTAAGAAAGAATCTCAAACAAAAGACGCTCGTCAATTTGCATAGCAATAATAACATAATTTAAACGACCAAGAGTCTAGTTATGACTTGGTCTTTTATTGTCACTTTATTTTAAGTTTACTTAGTATATAAGATGGTGTAATATTATTTATTAATTATACGCTTCTATTATTTAAGTTGTTGAGCTGATGAAGACTCTGTGAGTCAAAATGTATTTTATGTATACTATCTTATTAGATTACTAAATATATTTTAATTATTTTAACATCTAAGAAAGAATCGTCTTTGAATTAATGAAAAAACTTGTATTCTAATAGGGAAATACGAAAAAAGTTGCAGTGGACTTGAATTATTTTTTAAAAATTATAGGAACTTTTTATACTATACGTATATCTCTCATTGAACTTTCTTCATTATTAGAACGCGTTCCTTTCGATATATTGCTTGACGTCATCCGGTAACGGTGAAAGTATCTACCATAATATTCTGTGAATAAACAGGGTCTAATCCAATAGGATATACATCACTGCGCATTTTCCGAGCGCATCGCTGCGTTCTTCACTTTTCAAGGTCGGACATTTACGACTTTATGGGGCAATTATCGTGGTATACAGCAATTTAGTTTGCGGATACGGCTAACTTCTGCTCATCCTTCCATGAAGCAAAATCGTTAATCGTCTTGAAAATCCCTCTCTTATCAAGATATATTTTTAAGTATCGATTCGAGCGTAATTAATATTAAATGACTTAATTAATATGTACATAAAATGCAAGAAAGGAACATAAGTTTTTACGTCTAAAAACACCAGTTCAATCGTATTTATATTTTAGGAATTAGCTTATCTTTCTCCTTCATTTTATTTTTATTTTAGGAACCAAAATTTTTGTATAATTTTTCTTATTTTTTCCCTGCAAAAATTATAGAAACTTTCTATATTATATCTTTCGTTGAATATCTTCGGAAATAAAAGTTTAAGTCATATATATATATATATTGCAAAACTGCTTCCACGTCTCTTACAGAATATTTATGTTCACATTTCAGTGCAAAGCAAAGTAAGATGTACCAAGCAATTGATGGAGGTGGATATAGTGAGGAGTAGTCCGCAGGCGAAGATATATCTCCAACAATTCAAACATTTTCCGGGTGAATATATTTGAACGTTTTACGTTAGACGCTGCACATAAGTCATAATTATGACTTACGTCGAATTTCTACTTTTGCAGACGAGGCTTGTAAGCCGCAGTTTCACGATGGCGTAGCGACATTTAAATTATCCCTGCTGGAACAGGATATGTTACGGTGTGGCATCACAAGAGTCGTCAACAAAGTCACGGTAATAATTTTATTTTACGCTCCGGCCTTAAATTATTTTATTGCATATTAAATTTCGTTTTAACTTTGAAACTGACGAAAATCTGTAAGACTTATTTGATATATGTTAATTAAAACTAATTATATAATTTCAAGGAACTAAGATGATAAAACTAAACTCGTATAAAAAAGAATAAATATTAACAAGTATATTTTAATAAGAATAATTCAAATTTGTTGATGTTACATAAAAAAATTGAATTGTTTTGTAAATCAGAAATTTATAATTGAGTGAGCGCCCAATAGACCCTTCGTCATCTCCGGGGGGTTAACGTTGCACGGAAATTCTTGCGTTTATTTAATACGGGATATAGCGTTGTATTGAGATTATAAATTTTGATGACACAGGGTCAAAAGATGTACTATCATCGAGTTATAGTAGAGGAGCCTGCGGATTCCAGCAAACACACGTTCACGGTGAAATGTGTAATCACCGAAGTTGTCGTGGAGCCAGAAATCGCCGTCGTGGCCAATCACACGGCGGTACGGCGGAGTGTTCTTCCGGCGGGCTTTCAGGAACCTGAGTAAGTCATCAATCATTCGACATTAAAGCGTTTGATATTATGACACGAAGTATCCGGCATTCGTCATGATGCGAGCGCAATCGCATTCGCTTTGTTGTTGCAATAAATATACGTAATTCATTGCAGCACAAGTAATAACACGCAATAAAGTCGGAGATTGTGCGTAACGTAAATAAAAAAAATCGCAAGGAGGCGCATCCTGCTAATGAGCGTGATATTTATCAAATCTATTAGATTGACTTAGCAGTCCCAAGAGATTCTCGGACCTCGCAGCTTTTCATTTCTCGCCAGTCATTCGACGGTGTTAATCGCGTCGTACGATAGACAAGACTCTCACACTTCCCTCGTACGAAATGATCCCTCGACATGGGCAAACGAGTGAGTTTAATTACCCGGAAGTTGCGCCTCTCGCGCGCGAGTGTGAGAGAAAAATTCCTCTTCGTACGGAAGTCTGACCCGCCGTTTTGGCGAACGTCACAATCGCATTCTGTCGGGTCAACGAGTCTCTAGTTCTGCAAAAAGCATCGCTGTACAGAAAGCACCATTTCTTATTGATTAGTCATGGTATTAGTTTATTACAGATTGCTTAAAACAAGAACATTCATCGTCATGTTAGATTGCTCAAGTATCGCTTGCTTTCCAATCGATTTTTTTGTTACTAGAGATAACAGTGTTCAATAAATTCAAGGAATAGTTTGTTAAGTGATACACGCCTTCTTCCGTTCATCTCCGACAAAAAATTCTGAAAGACTTTTATATCGTTATTTCATATCTCGATGATGATACCGTAATAAATCACTTTAAGATCACTGAATATAATGAAGTGCAATTACGTCGTATTCTGCGCCACCCAAATGGAATATAAACGTTATCGTTTCGTTCCCGCGTCATCATAAGTGTAGAGCTTGTTTACGCCGTTAGCTTCGCAAAACGGGTATTAACTACGAGACTATCATATCTCATTAAATCTGCTATCAGGCGATCTTCTGGGGCATGTCGAAAAAAAATTTTTTTTCAATCGGTAAACGGGCGAGCCGACGATTTACCGGCGAAAAAATAAAACTGGTCGCCGATCTGCATAATCCTGCAAGACAGACGGCAATGGAGTTTTATTGAGGATGGCAAAATTGTGTGGAAAATTCGATGATTACAAAACGATTGACCGATCCACATTCGAGCGAATAAATCGTCCCACCTGACCTGAATATATACATGCAGAAAGCCAGTTAGACCACTGCGGGAGTTATCATCGGGAGTTCGTAATTTGTAAGCGAGTCGAGGATGCAGCCGTCTGATTTATTTGCACAACGGGTCGAACGCACGTTGCAGCTGCTGGAAAACCAGTAATATATTTCAATCCGCGAATCGGCATTCCCGTTTTTTTCGTTCCTTCACCTCGAAAATCGCTTGACGGGTCACTCACATCCAGCTCGTGCCGTGCTATTTCACCTGATCTACGTTTTACCCGGGGAAACGTGCGGTTCGACGTGAGTACGCAGAAATAGACGGGGAATGGCCGACGATTGAGATACAGGGAAAATTGCATCGAGCACGGCAAAAGAGACGTTGCGATTTATGGCTCGGCATAGGAAGATGGAAGGCACAGGGAGGATGGAAGGAATAAACATCGATTATGGAAATGAGCTTCCGCGACGTGATTAAATAACAAATTATTCCTTCAGCCTCAGATTCAAGTGAATTCTAGAATTACTATTTGAGTAAATACCAAGGAATTTGAAACTGAATGCTAAACGGCCACAACGCAAGTGACGGCCTCTCACGAAATCTTTTTCCAAAGGGGAGATCGACATTAAGTAGATACTTATTAAGCTCGTTGAGGAATTTAATAGCGGGACATTCTGTATAGGTACATATAGTTGAGACACGTGGTGACATTATGAGAGTCGATTTTATAGTGCGACGTACGACAGAGTCCATTGCCCAACGGTTCCTTTATACAGATGGTAGAAAAGCCACGACATGAGCGTGCGAACGATTTTAGCACATTGGCCAAAGTGCCAGAGGGAGAAGAGAAGCCTGTCGCTAGATCTCTTGTCTTCTCCCGAACGAAAGTCGCTTCGCCGGTCGACATTCTTCAAATACCCTCCGGAGACGTGTTCTCAAGAAAAGCGAGACATAGCGAGGAATTTTTATCGCGACGGCCGCCGAGATTCTAATTCACTGGTGGATGACTCCTCTGGAGTCTCCTTTTTCAAAAATATTTATAGCAAAATGTTATATAATATTTTTATTTCTGTTATGCTTAATCACAATATTGATATTCCAAAAATACCTTTTAATTTAAGAAACTCCTAAATACAAAAAACATAGATTTTATTATATTATTCTTTTTTTCTGTTAATATAATTGTAAATAAAACGTTTCATAAATTATATATTTAAATAATACTTTCAATGTAATAATTTAAATAATAATTTAATATTCTATCTCTTTTCATATTTAACTTTAAAAAAAAATTTTGTGCGGCGCGCCAATAGCTCTGTCCTCCTTGACAAATTTCTGGATCCGCCAATGTATTAATTTATTTCGGCGGATTGATGAATCTCGCGCGAATTCTCGCCGCATCATAAGTTATCAGGAATCCAAAATCTCTGTTGCTGAATTATTAAGTAGCGACATTGTACTATGTGACAATCTCAAATCCAAGTCGCGCGATTTAAAACTTCCATTAAGCTATTCCTGTCGACAGAACTGCACTTTTGCATTTTTTTTGTGCTCTCTGAGATGAATCTAATTAATTTATAAAGGATAATTATTCGATAAGTATAACCCAGTGAGAAATGATAATGAAATGCGAATCGACGTCGATTTGATATCGATTCCATTATCATTTCTCACTGGAAATTCTTAGTTCTGCTCTTCTCCGAAGAAAATTTAAGCAGACAGTTAAATGCAAGAAATTCTAAGAATTCCTCGAGCTAACGATTGACGACGGCTCGGATACTCAAATGAATTTCTCTCTGCAATGAACATGTCTGATATACACATCCCATGTCTCTTTCAATAGAAAATAAATCGCATAATTAAACAATTTTTACGTTGTAAAGCGCATGCGAAAAGTCGTCACGCGTCGAAAAGCAGTTTAAGCTTGTTCTGTGTTGAAAATAATAAAAATAGAAAACAATTTACAAGAAGGAAATCGTGTAAAATAACACGAGTCACAGTCATAATAATGACTAATGATTCCCGATGTACCTGTCCTGATACCTCGTTATCGAACTGCGCTCATCCGTGTGCGCGCATACCTTTTATTTTAAACAGAACTTGATCTGCCCGATTTACCTCGCTCCTCTTTGCCGTGTTCGGATTCTTTGGAGCCTGGTAATTTCACGGTCTGCCCATTCTGGTAAACATTCGTCTTCATTACTTCGTCTGTCACCGCACGTGATTTCGACGATATATGTCGCCCGCCTGCCATGATGCCATAACGTCGCGGAAGCGACAGAGATGAGCTTGCACGAACTGGAGCACGTGTATATCGGCTTAGAATTGATTTACGTATGCGGAAAATATAACGAGCATGCACGAATAAATTGCCTTTTTTTTTGCGTTAAAGTAGATCGTACTCGGGTCGCGCATAATCTTTTGCGATTTTCCATAAAACCATAAAGTGGGTCGAATCTTCCTATGGAGATAAGTGCTATGGCATCGTAGGTCATCGTAATGTTCTTGCGCTTTGGCATGTACAAACTGCCGCTGATTTGGAATTGCATATTTGGATACGCAACATTGATCACCGCGCCGGCCAGGTGCTCGCCCTCGTGACTTCATTTGGAAAGTAGGCGATTGTAACCTTGCGGTTTATTTTTATTTTGTCCGTTCGTCATGCAGTTCGTTGTGGATTCGACATGTGACAATCAATAATAGATTTAAGTTTTAAGTCAATTTAAGTGATTCATAACAATTGAATCTATAAATTAAGGCGCATTGCATCTGTGAAGCAAGTCTAAATTATAAAGAAGAAAAGCTCACAAAAAGTTTTTAGAAATATATTATTTGAAATCAACTTGAAAGTTTATTATAAATGTCGTTTTTAATTAGCACTTGTTTATATTTAGTTTATAATTCCTAAGGAATCTTCGGATTTTAAATAAATTTATTTATCTGTTTCAGAGTGATCGATATACGTGAGGAAATTTCGGGAGCGGCACCTGTTCCTATCCTCGGCGTCGGAGTGAGGCAGGGTGGAGTTTTGGTGACCGGAGAGCTCAATGTCAGTCCTGGTACGCCGCTACAGATGGAAATATTTTTGGACAACGATTCAGCGCCGATCTACGGTCTGCTGGTGACTTACATGTTAGTCACCGATACCAAGACGCAAGAGGAAACGATTATTATTAACGGGTAATTGATCAATGCTGATGTTGTTGCAGCGCAATTGAAGATATATCATATAAGAGAAAGAATCATATTTTCAATCGGATCTTAATAATATTAGAATGCAAATTTTTGCAAACACAAGTAATCATAAACTAAAACTAAAATATTAATTAATATCAATTAAAATACAAATTAAATTGGTCATCAATTTAATAATAAATGTTCTTTACAAGTTTTTAAAATACTTATTAGCACCATTATTAAATTGATTAATTTAATTTGAGATATTAATATTTCTTATTAAGCATCAAGATCTATTTTGACCGAAAATAGGATTCTTTCTTGTATTTGATTTATTCGTATCAGTCGAATTTCTATAGAAGTAAGTATACTTATTATGATTGAAAAAACATCGTTCTACATGTCATAAAACGTAGCATAATTTGCGCGCAGGTGCTCCGTCGACCCTTATTTGTTTGAAAATTTCAACACTGTGGACGGTGACTTCCTGACAGCAAAATTCCGAGCCTTCAAGTTCCCGGAAAGCACCTACGTTCAGTTCCGCGGTACTGTTAATGTCTGCTTGGATAAGTGTCCTGGGGTATGTTTTCATCATTCTTTCGTAGTGCACAACTTAAGCCTATTCTACAATGTGCTTTTTGTTTCCTGTTTCTTGTTTCTTGCTATTTTTTTGTATCTTGCCTCTTATCCCGTTTTTCGTTTTCTGTTGCTCGAGATAAACATTAACGAACTTCAGAAGAAACAGAAAACACATATCAAGAAATATAATTATCGATAAAACGATCACAAAGAGGAAAAAAGCAAAAGGTAAAAAGCAAGAAACAGGAAACAAAGAGCACATTATAGAACAACCATTAAACAAGATGTTTTTTAATTAAATTATACCATTTATACAATTCTTATCTCTCATTTTTCCTCTTCATCCAATATCACTACTTCTCGTCCTCTCAGCGAATTTATCAAAACATATGTTTATTTCAGATTGAATGCAGCAACGGTCAAGTCGGTTTCGGCAGAAAAAGGCGATCTATTGAGATGTCCAGCACCGACAAGAATAAATTGTTCGAGGTAACCATGTCGACGTTCATCAAGGTCGATTCCGTGGATGACATCATGATTGATCCAGGTATATATCTTCATTTCGTAAAGTAAATGAACGTTTGAATAATTACCGTGTATTTATCATGTTTATGGCTTCTGTTGCGATGTGTATATACACTTTGTATTGTGTTGCTAGTATTTTCGGGATTCATCAGAAAGGGAAAGAACAGAACGCACACGAAAGAGAGGGCAGTGATCGCCGAAGAAGTCAGGGAGCAGTCCGACCCGACGACAATTAGAACGCACGAAAGAGCGTTCCTCGCAGAGGAAATAAAGGAACAATTTAAATATAAAGTCACCGAAATGGTACTCAATGGTTCCTCGTGTAATACATTGAGCTTGTCTCTCCTTTTGGTTTTTCTTTGCTTTTACAAACTCCTGTAGAGAATGAGATTTATGTTTCCTGACAAATAATTGCTAACTGTAAATAAAACGCAGTCTGCGATATATAAAAACGTGAAGAAAAATGAGAAATGTCGCTTTTGGAAATGATAGTTAACTTGCTCATTAATAATATCGAGAGATTTCGATCATAATCGCAGATTACTAATTATATAGTGATCGCAATAGACTGTATATAATCAAAATATGTCTATATGTGTTTAGAAGAGCAATGAGAATGAAATTTGATTGACGTTCCAAGCGCAATAATTTTCTCAAGAGGAAACTTGTGTCTTTAATGTAAAAAACTGCCGTCCATATTAAAATATCTTTATGCGTGATACTAAAGTATATTTAACGAGAATCAAATGTACTAGGCAATGAATTCGATAAAATGAAATTATCGAATTTAAAATTCAAAGAAAGCTTAAAAAATGAATTAATGACGCTAACATAATAAACAGTAACGTATGATTTCTCCGCTCTGCGACCGCCGAATTTTCAATCACGACGTATATCAATTTTTAGTTTTATTATACCTTTTTAATTATGTATCGTAAGTAACTGCTGTATCTCTTGATTGAGTAACTGCCAAAAGAAAATTGGCCTTTGCGAGCGGAGAAAGACGAAGACCTAGTCGTGCGACGAGGTGTAATATTAAAATGCGACTTAATTAATTACTAAGTAATTATTAATTGCGTATTTGTAATCTCAGTGTAATTATTACGTTAAATAAATACATAAATCGATAGCAGATATGATATGATTACCTTTAGTCATAATTAAATTATCATATACTCATTAAAAATGAAATAAAAAATTCATCCCTCTCTTCTTCTGTTTTTGAAAAATTTCAGCCGATTGTAATTAAACCAAAGTACGTAATGCATGTTTTGTGTTACTAAAAATATAGCAAACTTCAGGCAGTAAGTTGCATTCGCAAGGAATCATTAGATTTATAAACAAGCATTATAAGTCAACAGTGTAAGAGATAATTTTTTTTAAACAATATAAAACATATATTTGGAATGTATAACGATTTAACAAAAAATATTTCTTTTACAAAATATAATTTTTGGCTTACCTATATATGTATATATCAGATATAAATTGATATAAAATTTAACAATAATATAGAGTATTTTTAAGCTATACTTTCATACATTTTTGTACTTATATTACAATTGGAAAATTGCAAATTTAATGTTAACAATAAAAAAATATTTTTTTTTACAAAATATGATTTTTGGCTTATGTATATGTATACAAATATAAAGAGACATATAAAGTTTAAGAATAATATGCAGTACTTTCAAGGTATACTTTCATACGTTTCTATACTTATATTACATTCGAAAAATTCCAAATTTTGTGTCAGGTATAGGCGCGTTCAGACTCGCTGACAAACTCAAACCGAGTACGACTCGTGTGTCTACCGGATCAATCACACCGTCATCCCATAATCTAAGAAATATTAGAATATTCATAAAACAAAATTAATATTTTTTTGTACATAACAACAATAATTTACCTAGCACTGGAATAATAAGGACTGCCTTCCTTTTCGAACCGTTTTATAATTGGATTCTTGAGATTCTCTTCTTCTTCTTGAGTCCACTACAAAATTGAAATATACATTTATATCCGCATGTTGACGAAACAAAAGTTAAAAAAAGTCACCTGTTTGCCCTCTCTCGCATATTGATCCTTCGTGATTTGCGTTAATACGCTCGCTGCTTGTTCTCCTCCCATTACAGATATTCTAGCATTTGGCCAACAGTAAAGGAAACGTGGAGAATAAGATCGACCACACATTCCTATTCAAATATATTTTTATTACCTTAAATTCTTTTTCTTTCTCTTCAGAAAAAAATATTAAAATAGCTAAAGAAAAAAATACCGTAGTTCCCAGCTCCATACGATCCTCCAATTATTACTGTGATCTTCGGTACCTGCGCGCATGCTACTGCTGTTACCATTTTAGCACCATTTTTGGCGATACCTCCCAATTCTGCGTCTCTACCCACCATGAACCCTATATTTATAAACTTGTATATTTATATTTTGTTCTATTAATGCGTGAATTTTAAAAAAGTTAATACATAAATAGCGTTCATGTAATTATACCTACCGGTAATATTTTGCAGGAAAATAAGAGGGATTTTTCTTTGAGCGCAAAGTTGCACAAAATGAGTTCCCTTTAGAGCACTTTCCGAAAATAATACACCATTGTTCGCAACTATGCCAACAGGATAGCCGTAAATCTTGGCGAATCCAGTGACTAACGTTTCGCCGTATTGAGCTTTAAATTCGTGAAATTTCGACCCATCCACAATCCTCGCGATGACTTCTTTTACATCATATGGACGTTTTAGATTCGTTCCGATGATGCCATAGATGTCATCAATGGCATGCACAGGCAACTCAATGTTTTTATTGATTTTTACATCCATAGGTGGTTGTAAATTTAAATCTCTCACAATTCGACGTGCGAGATACAAAGCATGCGTGTCGTCTATCGCGTAATGATCGGTTACGCCAGACTGTCTAAAATTTTAATTACAACTAAGCATTTATGAACGATCTATGTACACAGCGTTTAAAATAATTACCGACAATGAAGCGCAGCTCCACCTAAATCCTCCGCTGAAACTTCTTCACCAGTTGAAGCCTTTACCAATGGTGGGCCAGCTAAAAATATTGTACCTTGATTGCCAACAATAATATTCTCATCTGCCATTGCAGGAACGTATGCACCACCTATAATATGATTATACAAATTACAAATCATACATAACATAAAAACATTAATGTATTGATAATATTAATTATCCCTCTCTAAGGGCTGATTGTTCCAACTTTTTGGTAAAGTTTATCTGTTAGGTAAGTAGCAAGATTATCCAATCACATGCGCGGATTGCTAGATTTAACTAACAGGTAATCTTTATCAAAAGATGGAATAATCAGCCCTTAAACTTTTAGAGTGAATCTCACTCTGAAGAATGAAATTTTTCATTCTTAAAGATTGAAAATTGAACCCTTTTTTTTTAAGGCTGACTCAATTTTAACTTTTTAAGGTGATTCCACTTTAACAAATTTAACAAAATAATGACAAACCTGCTGTGCAACTTCCCATAACCACTGCGATTTGAGCTATTCCTCTAGCACTCATGTTTGCTTGATTATAGAAGGTTCTGCCAAAGTGCATTTTATCTGCAAATACATCATCCTGTCTAGGTAAATTTGCTCCTCCACTATCAACCAAATAAATGCAAGGTAATCTATTTTCCTCCGCAATTTCTTGAGCTCGTAACTGTTTCTTGACCGTAATAGGGTAATATGTACCAGCCTTTACAGTAGGATCATTCGCAACTATTATACATTCAGTGCTAAAAAAAAATATTTGAAGTGCTGATTCCAAAAGAATCTATTAATTTTATTATCCATGACATACCCTTCTATTCTTCCAATACCGGTAATAATTCCACCTGCTGGTACTTTCTCCTCACCATATATCTCATAACCTGCTAATTGTGAAAATTCTAGGAAAGGCGAATTCTTATCCAAAAGAGTATTTATTCGTTCTCGAGGTAAAAGTTTTCCTTTGCTTATATGTCTGTCTTTGGCTTTCTGTCCACCACCTTCAACTATTTTCTCCACAATGTTCTTCAATTGATCAATAAGATTTTTCATTTGCATGTAATTCTCCTGCAACATTACAAATAATTATACATACACAATATATCTACAGTATGCGTCAAAAAAAATGCGACTCTCTTTTAATCACTATTATGTTTGCTGAGTGTGACGCAGCAATTGCAATTAAAGGAAATCATTGGAATAAATATTTGGTAGGACAAAATATTTGTGTTATAATCAAATTTGCCCCCATCCACTCACTTTATTTAACTAAACCGACAACTGAAGTGTTAGTTGTGAGAGTCGTATTTTTTTTTGGCGCATACTGTACAAATACACAATTCACTTGTATTATAAAATTTATTATAATTAAAGCAGGAAACACATGTTCAATATTATTCATAATATCAAACATTGATTTTTATATATAATTTTCATAAATTATATTATTGCATTTTTTAAGAGAAAAGGTGCAACTATAATTGAGGGGATGGACGGAATAAAGGCACAATTCTACTTCGGCCCTTTTTCTAGCAATTAACTTTTTCATGTAATATCGATCGTAATAGAAAAGTATTGTAACATGTAATTTCTTAAAGACATTACATAAATTCATTCGATACTGTACTCATTTGTGTATAATAAAAAAGTAGCAAGTTATTTTAATTTTTATCAAGATTTTACAATTAGGCCTTTATTCCACCCATCCCCTTAATTATAAAAATAATGAAACAAAAATACACAACTGTACTTCCTAACCTGATACACCGGTGAGCTGGTATCCGGTGTAGTGCCGATGACAGACGCCTCCTCATGATAAAATCTCACGAAGGGTCGAAAATACCTCAATAAATAACGACTTCTCTGTAACATGTTTATAAATACTTTTTACCGCCAAGAGGAAGATGACAGTCGACAACAATTGGCACGTTGTAAGTTATTGTAACGTGCCAGTCGAAGATATCAAACTTGAGAACTTCTGACGCACATGGAAGATTTGTGTTAACGTCTTCTTATCGCGATGACTCGGCCATTTGCACACACATGCGTGCCGGTGCGTGTACGATTAATATGCGTACACGTGACACAGTGGTTTATTTGACATTATTTATATACAAAAGGCCTGTTCTGTAAGTTCTGTTTAGTTAAACTTCTTGCACTGTTTTACACCATTGATCTTTTCTCTTTTTCTCTTCAATATGAGGAGAAAAAGAGGAAAGATGAACTGTGCAAGAAAAGTTCAGTTAAAAGGATGATTTATAATAAAAAATTATCTCCCCCCCCCCCCCTCTCTGGTCTTATCAACTCCGATTAGTGACTGAACTATTAGATATATATTGTAATTTTATATTTCATAGTTTTTTAACTTGATTTAATTTACTCTATCCTTTTCTATAATTTTATAACTAGAAAAAGATAAAAGGTAAGTTAAATTAATCGATATTGATAAATGTAGACAAGCAGAAACAATTTTACCAATTTTAGTTTAGGTAAAGCAGCGTTAGATGACAGCAGCTACTAAAGGCGCTGTTTGGCGCTACTGATGCACAGCTGATATACGCATTATACGTGATTATAGTAGTATTGTAATGTCCGTCTGGTCTGTCAGTATCTGTATGTGTGTCTCATGTTGTTGTTCAACCGAAAATTGTAGGCGTAGACGCAGATTAGATATTTTTCTGTCGGTCAGAGAAATATGTTTTGAATCTGATTTCAATTAATCAGTCATTCTCTCTGTCATTATTGGTATATTGGCTACCGTTGCGCGGCGAAGATGCCTAATCTAACCAATTTATCCCATTTTCCTTTAAAGGTATGTATGAAGTGTCAACTACGTCCTTTTCTGTTTCAGTGTGTGCGTTTTCCATGTTGTCATCGATATTTACGTCGTATAAGTATTGTTTTTTTTTTGCATGTGTATTTGAATTCATTTTTGTTCTTTAATTAGCAGTAAAATTTATAAATATATAAATATTGCACAATTGATCAATAAAAACAATGTGATATCGTTTATCATTATATTTTTCAGATTATATTTGCCATTCACTTGCTACTTGTATCATGGTAAGAACAGCTTGGATTCTCTGCTGAAGATAGAAAGATTTTACGTA